ATAAAAAATACTTAACAGAAATGTTTATTTATATTTATCATAAATATTACATTAAATATTTAGTCTATCTTTTAATAATATTTCGAATAAAGCATTATATAAAATATGTATAAAATATTTATATAACATTTCATAAAAATGAATAACAATAAATATTTATCATAAATATTCTGTGCTGTCTGAGATTGATATAATATTACGTATTGTTGTATCTAGTTTGTATTTACTGAATAGTGGATTTGACTGTCACTGTAATTTCAAAAAGTAGGAATTTTTCAACGGTTTTTCTCGATTCCGTTGTTGAGAATTAAAGTCGAGAAGAATTAACTAAAATAAATAGAAAGCAAAGAGAGTCTCCAAAATTTTCTCGTGTGAAATTTCTCGATGTAAACGTTCATCGTACATTACTGAAGGATCGATGAGCCGTAGAACGTTTTGAATCGCTGTTGTTCAAGAAAACAAGTCGATATCGCTCTTGACAGTCTCGTTTCCAATTCCACGTCCTTGCCCTTGTCCTACAACTGAAAGCTTTTATAACGCCTGCGCGTTCTATTCACGACGATTTCAACAAAAAATTTACGCACGATTGAACAAGCGATCGTGAGTAATCTCCTCGTGAAAGGTGGTGCTTCGATCTCTCCCAGCGTCTTGTCTCGTCTCGAGGAGAGATATCGGCATCACTGATCTCATCAGTTACCGAAGGTCGAAGCGTGAGATCTCCAGATCTTCGACCTACTCGCTGATCTGAAGGTCCAAGATGAAAAGAAAAGTCTGTTTTCAACCTTGCCTTATTACGTTTTCTCTCTCTTATATAAAACGAGATGTAACCATTCACATTTTAAATAGCAAGCGAAAAGAATGATGTAAAAAAAGTGTAGAGTGCATGTGAAAATGCTCAATCTCGAGTTTGACGTCACAATGTCGTCAACGGAGAAAGAAAAAGAAATAAGAGAGAGTGAGAGAGAAAAAAAGAAGTTGACTTGTAGTTGTACACGCACCGGCAGGAATGGTGTCCCTCGGCGTTCGGCGCGCGACGCTACACACTCGTACCGAAGTTCACACGTACGTGTTACTGGAAGCGCGGAGGAGGCGAGGAGCGCGAAGGGAGAAAGTAGTGGGGGGCGCTCCGATATTCCGTCCTTAGCGTAAGACGCACGATTGAGAGAGAAAGCGTAATTGGACGTGATGTCGGCTCGCGGTGTCCTTTCGCTCTCACACATTTATTACTAACGCGAGTGAGATCCCCC